AATGGAGTCATAAGGGAACAAGTATTGGTATGAATAACGAAAACAGGAACTTGTGGAGAGCCATGATCGGCCCTATCTTGAAGGCACATAACTCGTAAAGAGAGAAGGAGAGAACCTAACTGACAAGAATTAAGCAAATGAATGACTGAACAAATGCCACAAAGAGAAAGTGGGGTCACAAAGAAGCAAGTATAGCTGGAAACAACAAAAAAGAAAGGTAGGTTTAGAGATCCATGATCCCAAAGACGTCTTGAAGGGGCATGGCCTTGAAGAGATAGCATATAATTATGGATATACCACATCTCAAAAATGTTTTGAATGCTTTGATTGATACTTTTTGAAGAAGCAAGGTTGATATGTAGTAAAACCAACCAACAACCCAACCAATAGATAGATAGATACCAACTCCACATCTATATATATATATAGTCACCTACGCGGATCAGCGTAACCTGACGATCCGCGTAGGTGAAACCTAGGTAGGTTTAGCTGGCTCTTTAGGTTCATAGTTAGATTTGCTCTACTTAGTGTATTGAGCACTTTGCATAGTTATTTTACTTTACTCGTGTTGGAGGTTTTTTTCTTTGGACTCTGAGCTTGGATTCTGGACGATTGTTTTTGCATGAATTACAGTTCTTTCTTTTATTATTCCTTATTTTTCCTTGGGTATTGGTTTGTTCATTTACAAGATAAAAAAACCTAAGATTTTTCCAGACGAGTACAATTACTTATATTTATATTATCATTATTATTATTATTATTATTATTATTATATATATGTGTGTGTGTGTGTGTGTGATAAAATATACTATTAAGGTATGCTGCCTTTATTGGTAAAAGTCCTGAATAGAACGTATGTAACATGGCCTGAAGATTGCGTTTAAGCATGAAACAGACTGTCGCCGTTCGGTGTGGATCTCAGTAACCACTAATATATGTGTGTGTGTGTGTGTGTGTGTGTGTGTGTGTGTGTGTGTGTGTGTGCGTGCGTGCGTTTGCGCGTGTGTGTTAAACGGAACTGCCTAAAATAATATGTACGTTTTGTTCCTAAAAGCTCTTTGTCGTCATTAAAGAGAATATATAAGAACGCTCAGTAAAAACAAAAAATCACAAAATTTTCCCCCGTCCTGGGTATGACGATAAACTACATCCAACAGCAAGGCCTCTGATCAGGAGGTTTTGAGGAGCGTGGAACCACCTCTTAATTGCTGGTGTTCCCAGGTCCACCCTGACCCGGGGTGGTAGCACCTGTTAGGGTCCCAGCTATGGGCAAATTGTTGACAACCAAACTTGTGTAAAAATAGGTTTTAATACCAGAAATATTTTGTAATAAAAAAAAATATTCCCATCAATAATTTTTGAAGGAAAAATTATTATCAGCAATACTTTTAAAAAACAAAAAAGTACTAGCAATACAAACAGCTATACATTCTTTGAAAAAAAATATTACCAGTTATAGATTTCTTCAAGGAAAAATATTCCCAGAAATAGATTTTTGAAGAAAATAAAAAAATTAAAATTTTGTCGGCATTAAATAAGCAACTGAGGTTGATATGCTGTAAAACAAACCAAACCAAAATGTTCCTAGTCCGTCAAATTTAACGAAAACACACACGTACTCACACACACGTACTCACACACGTACACACACACATGCACACACAGTATTCTCTCTCACACACACACATATATATATATATATATATATATATATATATATATATATATATATATATATATATATATATTGGGTTGAGTTAAAAGCACAGAGTCCAGAGTTCAAATTACAACAGAGGAAGTTTGGATTCCTTTACACTATTAACCTTGAGAAGGACAAAAATATTTCTCTTCAAATTGGTCAGGCCTATGATTAATCCCTGATGCTGGTATCATATAACCCAGTACAATCTGTCGCATATTGTTTGGAATGGAAATGGACACCGCCATATAGTCTCTATTACCTTGAGAAAGTTCCCATAACACTACCAGACTATGGTATGGGTTAATATGATTTTCTATTTAAAATAGCAAGAATCTTAAAAGTTAAATAAACTATGCTATATAAATAATGTTTTAAATAATATAAATATTGTATTTAATACTAAAATAGAAAGTAAAAATTAATTTAGTGTTCAAAATATATTTTTTCGTTCAAATTTCTGGCTAGATATTATTTTTTTTTTTTTCCATTTTCCATTCCGGAATTAAAAAATAAAGAAAATTATTCGTATCTAATGGGCATCTATCATTAACAAGTAAGACATAACAACATGAAAAATAATATTTTTAATGTATTTCGAAAAAGAGGGATGGCGTTACGGTTATCAACACGGGGGCCATCGAAGAGAGTTCGATCCCTGTTCAAGTCATCTTCACTTCATATTAATAACCGTGAGAAAAATTTTCTGCCAATTCGCAAAATATTTCTTAGCAATTAAAATAGTTTTTTTCCTTAAGACGTCCTATTGTCAAACTTGATCCAGTTACTCTTTCTTTCTCTCTCTCTCTCTCTCTCTCTCTATATCACACACACACACACATACACACACATATATATATATGTGTGTGTGTGTGTGTGAAAAGTGTATATAAATATAAATAAATATATATATGTATAATTATTTATATATTATATGCGCGGTACTTATTAGAATGCGCTCGACGGACGACCAAGTATGTATATGTGTCTGCATATATCGATGTTTGCGTTAGTACGATGAATGACAAAACGCAGAAATTTCCCCCACCACTTCCACAATAACACCAATACACGCAATCTACATAAACCCAAATTTTTTAAAACATTAATCAGTTTGTCTGACGATCGCTAAAGCGTGAAACCCAGGGTCACAAACTCACATCTATCCAACCAAATAATATATATATATATATATATATATATATATATATATATATATATATAATACCTGGCCGCTCGTATCCATATATGCATGTCTACTAGTGGAGGTCTAACCAATCCCTGTTGCAGACACCTGCTCAGACACATGTGCTTTATATTGCAATGCTGAGTGAACCTTAGTTGAAGTTTCTGAGAGAATAACGCGTTATCCGAAGTGAACAAGTTCAGTACTCTCAAACCCTCAGTCACGATGACTTGTGATTTCGTGCTAGCACAAACATCAACTGCTCCCAAATAGTTCTATGCACCCACCTGTTGCAGACACCTGCTCAGACACATGTGCTTTATAGTGCAATGCTGAGTGAACCTTAGTTGAAGTTTCTGAGAGAATAACGCGTTATCCGAAGTGAACAAGTTCAGTACTCTCAAACCCTCAGTCACGATGACTTGTGATTTCGTGCTAGCACAAACATCAACTGCTCCCAAATAGTTCTATGCACCCAATTTCACTCACAACGCTTACGCCCATATAAATGAGAGAGAGAATATAAAAGAGAGAAAAAGAGAGAGAGAGAGAGAGAGAGAGAGAGAGAGGTTTTTTTTTTCCTTTTCTTCATCACGATGAATGTTATTCGATTGCTTTTCTGTTAAACGGGAAAATGTTTTGCTATACATTTCTGTATTGTTGTTGTTATTATTAGACAAGAAAAAATTGAAGTGTTTCCATAAATAATTTTGCCAAACAAATTTTTTACGTATTTTATTTTTTAATAATATTTCTTCGTTGTAAATTTGCAAGGAACAAATGAAATCCATCATTTTTATGCTACTAGTTGCTACTACGTAGTAACTGAAAATGGACCTCTACGCGCAGGAATAGTGACAATAACAAAAATATTGCAATATAGTCATTTCTTAATTAGTCATTTCCTATCTTTCTTCCTGGTTTTGCAATTCTTATCCGGATTCTCTGTATCCAACAGGTTCACATGACTTGATATTAACAGGATCTCATCAGCCTACAATGACAGCAGTAAGGAATCGTTCTCTTGTAGTTATAACCAGATAACTAACCAGATTCGGCGAAGATTATATTTCAATCATAACACACACACACAGATATATATATATATATATATATATATATATATATATATAGAAAATTGTGTGTGTGTGTGTGTGTGTGTGTGTGTGTGTGTGTGTGTGTGTGTGCAAATGATAAAGCCTGTTTAAATTTTTTATTGCATTTTTCACATTTTCGAATTCCGTCTATATTTGTAAAGTAAAATGATAAAATTGAACAAATAGACATTGTCGGTTGAATTTAATAAAAACTTTGTCCTTAAATATATATATATATATATATATATATATATATATGCGTGTGTGTGTATCTGTGTGAGTCTGTTTATTTTTCTGTAAATATAACCAGATGTGGCGTAGAGAGATATATCAGCTATTCATATACAAATAGATAGATAGATAGATAGATAGAAAACATAGGAACATTTACGTACGTACGTATATATATATATATATATATATATATATATATATATATATGCTTTGTGAAGTTTATATACAAATATATTTAAAGTATGAGGTGGGAAAATGACAACTACCATTTAGTGTTGATTCCTATGCCCCCTCTCTCTCTCTCTTTCTCTCTCTCTCTCTCTCTTTCATGCATGTGTGTTATATATATATATATATATATATATATATATGCAAGAATCCCTCGATTAGCGCGGCTAATGCTTATACTAAAAGAAACGCATTAATCGAATTTAAACAAAATTGATAAACAAAATATTAGCCCATTTTCCATTTTAAAATTTTAGACAAATTGTAGTTAATTGGTAAGAATAAAAATTCAATTTTCAATTACGATTGTTAAACTGATGAGGTATTTACCGGACTAAACGAGTATTTATCGAATTTTGGTATAGAAATTTCACCGCACTGTTCGAAAAAGTATTAATCGAATACGCATCAATCGAGAGATTCCTGTAGATAAATATCTTTGATAGAAATTTTAAATACTGCAAAATTAGAAACTAAAATGATTCTTTCTCCTTAACTTTGAATATGTCGAATAAGATGAAAGAACAAAAGAAAGTTTGTTTGTTTTTTAACTTAC